CGAGACTTCAGATGTACACATTTGCCTGGTTACCAAGTAATCATACACCGTGACCTCAAAAGATGATCACCTCACACATCTTCCTACGATACCGAATGAGTCTTGAGTGTCCAATATGGCTGACGGGATGCCCAGGCCCATTCCCAGCCTGGGACCTCTCGATAGGTATCCAGAGCAAATGCCAGAATTTTTTTTTTCTCTCTCACGGCAATCTATTTGCAGAGAAGAGTCCTACCTGATGCGACAATGGCCTATCCAGATGCTAAACCTGACACTTTGCCTATTTCCTGCCCTGTTCTGGACCAACTATCTACATGGGGGAAATGGCGGCAAACTGAAAGGAGACTGTCTATTGGCTTGTGCTCAAAGGCACTTCACAATTCCCCGCTGATCTTTTCGCTTGGGCTTCTGCGGTGGACAGCTAGAAAGGGTGCCACACCCTCTGTTGAGTTGGTGCCTTCACCATCCTCACCCCCTGGCTCTAGCCACTGCCCCCCACCCACCTGACCCCCTCGTGTCTGGCTCATTTCCAACCCACCCTTTTCGAAACGGTACCAAGACTCTGAGTTGGTGTGACTGAGGGCGAGATTGGATGACGTCTTTGGGAAGACCAGTCCCTGCCTTCACAGGCATAGGGAGAAAGAACCTCTTCAACCATATTGTTTTTACGCTCGTGCTCACTGTCTGTGCTTCGCAGGCATAAGGGACATGTCCAGGGCATTACAATTCTTTAAACTGTGACCGGCCTGTGGTTTTAAGAGGCACGTTTCGTCCTGGTGTTTTTTTCAGAGACGGAGATTGTGGGTAAGGTGCTGAAGATAAACAACTTGTGAAATCTTGGATTTTTTTTGAAGTTGGAACAATAGAAGCAGCCTGAATGGGTGTCATCAAGCTCCCGCACAACCAGAATTTTTAGTTTTAGCTTTCGGCAGCTGCTTGAAGAAATGGAAACTATTTTTCCCTCCCGTAGTTACAGCTAAAAGCTAAGGGTTCTCTTCCTAGGCTGTTAGATTGTATGTGAGACAAAATCTGTTTCCTGAATTTGCCCTTTTACCACAGGGTGTGTTTATGGGATGTTACTATATTGGAACAGTTACTTAGTAATAGTGACTGTTTCTATTATTCAGTTAAGTTTTCCAATAGAGTTAAGTTATCCCAAAAAATAAAATGAGGGTGCCTTTATTGGTCAGTCCATTGAGTATAGGAGTTGGGAGGGTCATGTTGCGGCTGTACAGGACATTGGTTAGGGCCAATTTTGAAATACTGCGTTCAGTTCTGGTCTCCCTGCTATAGGAAAGGTGTTTTTAACATTGAGAGGGTTCAGAAAAGATTTACAAGGATGTTGCCAAGGTTGGAGGGTTTGAGCTATAGGGAGAGGCTGAAAAGGCTGGAGCTATTTTCCCTGGAGCGTCAGAGGCTGAGGGGTGACCTTATAGAGGTTTATAAAATCATGAGGGGCATGGATAGAGTGAATAGCCAAGGTCTTTTTTCCCCAGGGTGGGGGAGTCCAAAACCAGAGGGTGTAGATTTAAGGCGGGAGGGGAGAGATTTAAAAGGGATCTGAGGGGTAACTTTTTCACACAGAGGGTGGTGCGTGTATGGAATGAGCTGCCAGAGGAAGTGGTTCAAATACAACATTATGGGTGGGTACATGAATAGGAAGGGTTTATTGGCCAAATGCTGGCAAATGGGACTAGGTCAGTTTAGGATATCTGATCGGCATGGACGAGTAGGACCGAAGGGTCTTTTTCTGTGCTGTACAGCTCTATGACTCCAAGACTTGATAACTCTATGAAAGCCAGAGTGTTAATAAACCAGATAAATGGTGGGTACGTCCCCACAGAGTGCAATTAGTGTGTGCCTGGCTGCTCAGACAGTAGGAGAAGTTGAGAAATGACACATTGACAGGGTGGACTTGCTCCTGGGTAATGATTTGCCTGGGGCTGAAGTTAAGGCTTACCACATAATCACAGAATGAGGTGAAAGAGAGAGAACAACTGTTCAGAGCAAGGTTCAGATATTTCTCCATCATCCAGAGCAACGGCTAAACAGAGTCTGCCACCAGCGATTACAGAGACACCACAAGAGCGGCTAAAACTTTATTTAAGGATAAAAATCACCATGGCCCCAGTCTCTCTCTCTCTCTCTCTCTCGGCAATGGTTTAACCTGAGGGGTCACTGTGTCTCCTTAGGCAAGGGGAGAGGTTGGGAAGGGGAGTCCTTCATGGTCACCTCAGCCACAGGGCCAGGATCGAACCCACACTGTTGATGTCACCCTGCATTTCAAACGGACTTGGCCCCCTTTTAAGGAGAGAAAGAATTCCAAAGTACTGCCTGGTGTGTCTTTATTGAATGAGATTCAGAAAACGAATTGGGAGCTTAAGCAAGTTGGCACACATGGAAGGTAGGCATAAAGGATTCCAGGGTGTCTTTGTGTTAGAACTGGAGTTTTGATGAGGAAGTGGGGATACTGTCATAGACCTGGGGACAAAGAATGGATAGAGACATAGAGTCATACAGCGCAGAAACAGACACTTCTCTCCAACCATGCTCCCAAACTAAACTAGTCCCACCTGCCTGCTCCTGGCCCATATCCCTCCAAACCTTTCCTATCCATACACTTATCCAAATGTCTTTTAAACGTTGTAACTGTACCCACACCCACCACTTCCTCTGGAAGTTCATTCCATACACGAACCAACTCTCTGTAAAAAAAAACTTGCCCCTCATGTCTTTTTTAAATCTCTCTCCTCTCACCTCAAAAATATACCCCCTAGTCTTGAACTCCCCAACCCTAGGGAAAAGACACCTGCCATTCACCTTATCCACACCCCTCATGATTTTACAAACTTCTGTAAGGTCACCCCTCAGCCTCCAGTGAAAAAAGTCCCAGCCTCTCCTGATAACTCAAACCCTCCCATTCCCGGCAACATCCTGGTAAATCTCTTCCGAATCCTCTCCTGTTTAATAACATCCTTCCTATGATGGGGCGGCCAGAACTGGACACAGTGCTCCAGAAGAGGCCTCACCAACATCCCTGTACAACTTCAACATGGTGATAGCTCTTCACCAGATAGTGGCTCTAACTGGACTATGACTGTAAATGCGAGACGTTGTTGGGGGAGGGTTGAAACGGTATAACTACATCATGGATCACCCACCACTGAACGTTTGACAGGCCAAATAAGGTCAAGGGCAGATCTCTGGAAATATACCTCAAGGGATGTTATGGTTAGTGTCACATGACTTCAAATTGACAGCTCCTGGAGATAAGAGGTGA